GCATTTCCTCTTTTATCATACCCTTGCAAACAATTTACAAATGGCGAATAAAGAGCGTACATAAGTTTTTGTAATATCTTTAAAGCTTTCAACGCAGAGAGCCACTTTAGGGGAAACATAACTTAAAAAGAAATATTTATGCTACTTTAACATTATTTTATATCCTCTGGTAATTTTTGCTTGATTTAATTCTTTTACCCATATAAAGTATTCAACAAATTATTAAAATGTATCTTCCAAACCATCTAAAACGCTTTTTGAGAGACCCTTTAGAAACCCCCGAGTCACGTGATTAATAAATGCTGGTTTAGCAATTAAATTATGAAATATGAAAGAGAGGACATTAATCCGTATAATTAAACACACTAAACTGAAATTCACCATGGGCCGAAAAATGGCCTTATCGAAACCTCCCCTTTAAGAAGTTGAATTTAATACTTAATATTTTCATTATTCTTGTATATTTATATTTCAATACATTGGTACACTTGGAAAGTTTTGAGTTAAAAAAAATTGAATTTATTAAATTATGTATTTGTTGAATAAAATTTTAGAAGGGTAAGTAGCTAAATCATGCATGTTTGCATTTCTGTTCTGCATGCATGACCTGATGTTAGGAATAAACAGGTTTTTCAATAAGAGGAGGCAGGAGGCAATTTTTCATTAGTTATGTCAATGTTTGGAATTTGGCACGTCAACGTCCATATAGGCAAAATGAACTTTTTGAAATACTTCCTAATATAGCATCTTCATCAAATTAATTAATATAATTCAACTTGATCTTCTGAATCACAAGATTTATGAAATCCCTGATAAAATAAAGTGAATATTTTGGTAGGAAATTGCAAATTAGACTACCAGTACTTTGATAAATAATCAGATAAAAAGATATGTTAAAATTTATTTTTAAAAAAGATGATGAAGTTTTGATCTGCCCTTACAGAGTGTGAACCCCAGTGCTATGGCTCATGGCCCTGCCTACCTGCCCTCAGAGGGGATCATCAAGGACATCATTATCAGAGACGCTGTGTCCGTCTCTAGTTCAGACGGAGAGATGGTTCTACTGCACGATAAGGTAGGGAAAGTAAAGAGGGAGCAGTTGAATATTGTATACAGGGAAATTTTCGTCCTTACGCCATACTCTCATTTGGGCGAATTTAAACAGGGTGAATTCAAAGACCTCCTATTAATACTGGCATGATCACATGATAAAAATTTTCCATGGTATTATTCATTATTTATTATGAATAATACCATGGTATATTAGAATGACTCTAATTCTTGGCCAAATTATTCGATATAACCTGGTTTGGGTCAGTTTACGCTTTTTAATCTGCAAAGCCAAACCAGGTTACACTCGAATAATTTGGGCAAGAATTAGAGTCATTCCTTGTAATTTAATTTTAAAATAATTTAACAACTGTGAATTCAATGTAAAATTGTGCTGCTGTTTATGAGTTCAAATTTACCACTCAATAATACAACCGTAATAACAGAAGTTATATCAGTGTATATCAATGTTTCACAATAATGGTATACTTTCATTTATAAATAAGTTGAATCTCATTCATCAAGAAATATTTGTTAAAAACACTTGCCCACTGATGATGAAGCTGCATGCTCTCCAGTGTAGCAACAGTCAACATTGCTTGACACAGTTTTATGTGGGACTGTGAAAATTTTCAATGTTACCCTCAACTATGTGCATTTGTAAAATCCATATAAGTATATTATCTATACTTTATACACTTCTGAATCAGTATTTGTAAATATTATAATAACAATTCCAAACAATTACATCGATAAAGGTAGATGTAGGACAGGTAAATAGATCAACATTTTATGTCTGGTGGTATATACTTCACATGATATGTTTTATGTCAGAATAGAATCATTGGAGATACTTGTACACTGTCAGTGTGTTTGTGTTACATTGTCCCACATAGAGATTGTTCTCATCATCCATACACACACTACGGGGAGTGTATATCTTTTGTTGTTTTGTGAGTAATCTAGACAAGAACTGACCGTCCTGATCAAGGAGGTGAACAGTTTCACTGATAACATCACACACCAGGATGTGACCGAGGACATCAGTACAGATTCCATAGGGACGGAACTCTGACTTCTGATTTCTGTAGGAGAACCTGTGTTGTCCTGATTTATTCACCACCACTACTGCTTTTCTATTTAAGTCTGATGTACAGATATCTCCATTGATGTTTTCTGTGATGTAGTGTGGATAACTATACAGTTCCTGTCCTTTGTTATCCCTCAGTATGTTCTGTAGTTCTTTTCCTGTCTTGTTGTACCTGGTGACTATAGCCTCTGAATCCTTCATCCTAAATAGTCCCCTATTAATGTCTTTAAACATCCCCACCAGTAAGTCCCTGTTGATGTGGGAGGAGTGTATGCTGAGTGGTGACCAGTCTCCAGTTTTAATGAATTCAGTGACAGTATTATCCTGTGTTATCCTATTGATGACGTTCTTCTCTTTGTTTGTAAAGATGAGATCCCTGTCCTGTGTGACTGTGTGGTAACCGTATCCACCACTGGTTTCTATCTTCTGTATCACATTTCCCTGTAGATCTGTTTGGACAAGATTACCCTCACTGTCACTGATCCAGAGTCTTTCTGATTGATCTAGTGATACATGACGTACATCATCAACACCTGGTACATTGAACTCCCTGACCTTGGTGACAGAGGCAGATAGAGACAATGTTTGTTTCTTGTCAGATTTTGTTTTGCCTTCTTTCATCTGTTTATGTGTAGGTTTCATTGCTGTATTGTAGACACTTTCAATGGGCCTTATTTCTCTCTTCTGTGCTTTAGTGTTGGTGACCTGTATTTTACCAAGTAATTTGGTGACATCACTTTTGTTGTACTGACCAGCAGTAAATCTTGGTGTGACTGGTTTTGTTGTCTCTGGTATGGATGGGATCTTTGGTTTCTTCTCAGACATTAATTTCTGGGTTTCTGTAGAGGACAGGCATTTGTGGAGCTCTTTGACAAGGTTATTGAGATAAGTGATGTAATCATCCATGGTCTTGTCTTGGGTGTTTAGATCTTCTAACAGTGATTGCTCTATCTGGTCTAACTGCTTCATGTTCTCAGATATGACTGTGTCCACCAAACTTTTCAGGGTCTCACCTTCAGTCTTCATCGATGTTCTAATGTTGTCCATGATGTGTTTAATTTCAGCTGCATCTTGTTTTATTTCCTTCTGTAAATCTTTAGATATGGGGAGAAAATACTGATGAATCTTTGAAATTTCTTCTTGAAAGATTGCATATTTTTTGGCATAAATTGTTTCTAGATCAGTAAATATATGCCCTCGATGGTTTTGCTGAGTTACACATTTAGAACATACTGGAACCTGACATTCTTCACAGAGCATGTCCACATCTTTAGTAGGGTGGATCTTGCATTTCTCCACAGGAAGCTGTCGTTTGTGTTGCTGGTAAAGGACCACCTCATGGTTCTTGTTCTGTGGTCTTTTCAGATGTTCATCTCTGCATTGTTTACACAATCTTTGATGACAAGGGTTGCAATAGAACTCACAATTTCTATCACACTCTTCAGTGCCACATTCTAAAAAGTGCTGGGCTCTTTGAGGAATGTCCATTTTAAATAATGTAATCTGAAAATTATTAAGTTTCTATGTACTGATTAGAACTTGAGTAAAGGACATGTAAGTTTTTCACAAGACTTTAATCCTCTGTTTAACTTGAAAATACAGTAACATGTTCTTCACCCAAGGAAGAAATAATTTTTTTTATTATGGTAACCGCACTTATTCACTTTTAGCTCACCTGAGCCGAAAGGCTAAAGTGAGCTTTTCTGATCAAAATTTGTCCGTCATCTTTTGTCTTCGTCATCGTTTTCGTCATAAACTTATTACATTTTCATTTTCTCAAGAACCACTAGACCAGTTTCAACCAAACTTGCCACAAAGCATCCTTGGGTGAAGGGGATTCAAGTTTATTCAAATGAAGGTCAAAGCCCTCTTCCAAGGGGAGATAATTATGAATTAATGAAAAATTAATGGTATCTTTTAAAAATCTTCTCCAGAACCATTGGGCCAGGAAAGATGAAACTCATGTGGAAGCATCCTCAGGTAGTGTACATTCAAGTTCGTTCAAATCATGACCCCTGGGGGGTAGGGCGGGGTCATAATGGCCGATCAAAGTTTTACATAGGAATATAAAGGGAAAAGATGAAACTCATGTTGAATCATCCTCAGGTAGTGTACATTCAAGTTTGTACAAATCATGACCCATGGGGTAGGGTGGGACCACAATGGGCGATCAAAGTTTTACATAGGAATATATACTAGGGAAATCTTTCTTCTCAAGTACTGCAAAGCCATGATTAGTGATATTCATATGGAAGCATCCTCAGGAAGTGTCACATACTAGTTTGTTCAAATCATAACCTCCAGGGATAGGATGGGGCCGCAATGGGGGTGGGGAGGGAAACAATGAGGAGTCAAATTCAAATTATTACAAAGAAATATATACGAACAAAATGATAAAATCAAATCTTTAAAAATCTTTTTCTCAAGAACTTTCTCAAGAAGTTATATGCAGTATTGATATGGAGGCATTCTCAAGTAGTATTAGAATTCAAGCCCCCTCTCCCATCCCCTCAGTAAACTTTTCAATTGAATCTGATTTGTGCTTTTTCCTAGCTCAGGTGAGCGATGTGGCCCCTGGGCCTCTTGTTTTGTATCTACTTGTTTCTATACCCATAGGCAATGATTACTATAATTCTGAATTATTGCATTAGAATTACCAGATTGTCCCAGTTTATACTTTATATTGCAAAAGTGACCATGATTTGTTTCAATAGTAGTTTCGTTTTGTTGAAGGCCCTGTGGGGATCCGGGTTAGAATAGGTGCTCAGTATCCCCTTGCTTGTCGTAAAAGGCGACTGAATGGGGCGGTCCTTCGGATGAACCAAGGCCCCGTGTCACAGCAGGTGTGGCACGATAAAGATCCCTCCCTGCTCAATGGCCCTGAGTGCCGAGCATAGGCCTAAATTTGCAGCCCTTCACCGGCAATGGTGACATCTCCATATCAGTGAAATATTCTGGAGAGGGACGTTAAACAGTATACAATCAATCAATCATTGTTGAAGATCTAGCATACTGTGGTTTCATCAATATTAGTTGAGCACCAATTTTCGTGGATTTCATTGTTGACTTGAGCAGATCCACGAATTCAAATGTTCATTGAAATATGAAATATGACATTCATTTGTATTGGTAAATAATGCTTTTGTCCACAAAATTACGTATCCTCGAAAACGTTTGTTTTACAAAATCCACGAAAATTGATGCCAACGAAAATTGATGTAACCACTGTATATAATAATCTCTGATTTGACAATATTGTATGAAAAAGAACCTGCAGTATAAACTGCTAAAAATTTATGTTGCAAGTTCTTTAGAATTTAACTGGAATGAATTCTAATGAAAGTTTGCATAATTTGGTTTATGAAATATTTGATATATTCTATGAGGCCATCCTTAAAACATGTTTGTTTGGAATTGCCGCCTGAAGGGTTTCTGACACAGGAGGGAGGGAGGGAAATTATTTTTTTTTAATTGAAAACCTAATTTTACATAGATCTGACACCATATTTCAGTGTTTTGTATGGTGCATGTGATACATGTAATGGGCACAAAAATTGATTAAACTAGAGCCGAGCTCGTTGCAAAGCAACGAGTAGGTCTTCCGTTAGAGCTATGGACAGGAAGTACCGACCTTGGGTCAAGGTCACTGCACTTTCTTATGTGAAAAACCTTTCTTCTCAGTATGAGCCTCCAGTGAATTTTAATTACAAAGTTATGCTTAAACATTTTTTTCTCTGTCAGTGACCTAGATTTGCTAGAATGACCTTTGATCAGGGTCATGACACAACCTCCAATCATAAGTAATCTATGTTTCAAGTAAGAGCCTCCAATTATTTTCATTTACTAACTCATAGCATGGGAAAAAAATATTTTTTTTCTGTCAGTGACCCTGATCTTAATAGAACTGGCTCTGTGTCAAGACAAACCTTCAATCTGAAACAACTTTTAGTGATTCAAAATTCATAACTCTGACAGGAATTTTACAACTTTTCTGTCATTGGCCCTGAATTTGTTAAAATGGCCTTATTTTAAGTCATCTGAAACCGGCGGACTATAAACAATTTTTATCAAGTATGAACTTAAAAAAAAATTGTCCAAATCGAAATGATACTATTTTCGGAGTCACAATCATAGAAAAATCCTTTTGTCACAAGCAATCTCTGTATCAAGTATTAGCAAACAAATATTCTCGATTACATATAAATGAGTGCGACAAAACATTTATTCTTTCTCCAGTGACCTTGAATTTGCCGTAATATTGCCTTGCTTCATGACACATCCTAGGATCATTATAGCCTGGCATTCTGGGAAAAACTTTGATGGACAGACAGACATCTGGACAGTTAAACAGACAATTTAATTCCCAACCCATCCACCCTACCCCCTAAAATACTCAATCACTTTGTGGGGGAAACTCTGGTCATGATTTGAAAAGAAAGTGATCTTTTTTATATCAGGAAGCTTTCATAAGTATAGTTTCTCATTCTTGCCCAGAGGTTCATAAGAATAATATTTTAAAACTACCCCTTCTTATCTTACTAACCATTTTCTAACCTTTTTCTCCATTATCTTCATTTTATATCATCCAAGGTCGCCCTCATAGCCCACTGATTAGAGCGTGTGCTCTATAGTCGCAAAGTAAGGAGTTCATCCTTACATCGTGGGTTCGAATCCCACTGTGGGACGTGGAGGCCTGTTCTTCGGATGAAACCGTATAAAACAAGGCCCCGTGTCGCCTAAGGTGCTGGCACGAAAAAGATCCCCTCCCCCCGGTCAAAGGCCTTAAATGCCGATTATAGGATATTTGAAGCTCTCCACTGGCAAGTGCATGATGGCATCTGTATATGAGTGAAATATTCTTGAGAGGGACGTTAAAACATATCAATCATATCCCCCCCCCCAAAAAAAAAAATGATTAAGAATTTTGCCTATGAAATATTTTGGGAGGGGTGTTGAAAGTTTAGGCTAAGTACAACTATCAGTCCATTGAATAAGAATATTTATTTCAAACTTTGGGGAAAGGGGGTGGGGTGCATGGGGGTTATGGTGTATACGTAATACATTCGAGATTATTATTATTCCGTTAGACAGAAAGGAGTTGTGATTTGCTGATCATGATCTAAAACACATTGACAAACCCAAACCACATGGTTTTATACACGTCCTTCAATTAATTTATTCATAATTATTTTCCTTGAAGGAGAAATGCATGGATAAAAGATAAAAGAAAATTCCTGATGTACAATTGCATCCATGCATGGACTTTTAGTACTTACATATTGTGCTTGAAGTTGAATAAAATCAACGAATAAATTTAATTTAAATAAGAAAGGGGGGTTATGTTTAATAAAATAAATTAGAATTGATACAGGGAGACTCTCTGTTAAATACATGAATGTACATGAACAAAATGCCTCTCTCTTGCCTTCTTTCGTACATTTATTTTTTTAAACCGGGAAAAGTAATGTGTGTTAGATATAAGTTCATAATTTTAAAGAAAATACTGAGTTATGTACGATAAATGACACAAATGGTTTGACTATGGTGCCGGATATTATTTTAATAGTTCAAATTAGGTTGTAAAGGTGTACTTGATAAGTTTTTGATATTCAGTAGCTGCAGTTTGTTATATAAGTTCTTAAATTTTCGGTTCTGGACATAGGATGCGAGTTTATTACTACTTACATGTACATTGTATAACTTGGTACCGATATTAAATCACGGAACAAAATTACAATGTTAGCACACTACCGGGTATACTAATCATTTACGGGATTTGAATAAATTATTTTACAAATTATGTTCATTGCTTTAAAATCTTGAATTATTTTTTCAACTTTACTAGTATAGAACCTGTAATATAATTATGCATTGTGCAGCACAGAAGCCACTTATGAAGTTTACACGTGCCGGAGTTAACTATCGATGTTTTAATCCATTTCATTGACTATAATTCTATCCATATGATTCAGAAGATTCTCTTTAAAATTTAAAATTGGTATAGACATGGTAAAAATCTGTGATGGAAAAAAATGTGTTTGGGAAAATTTGTGTTGAAAACGGATTTATTTGTGTGTGAAAAGGGCAAAGCTTATGTATTTAAATCAATATTGGTTGAAGTAAAGTAACCACAGATCGTTATAGTCCTTACGTAATGAATCGTCAAAATAAAAAGTAAAATTACACATGGAGCTAACAATATGTGAGACTGATTAATATGATTAATGTACTGAGTACATGTAAAGTAAATGCCCCAGGGTTTTGTGCTGAAGTCAAACCTAAGACAATTTAATATGAGATTTTTTTAAATATTCGATTTACTTCAAGAAAATAATATTTTCCCGTAAGTTTGTAAATTAGACACGTCTACCACTCGGCGAAATTAATGTCAACAAGTGATGGAAAGAATGGTTGGTCGCGTAATTGTAAACAAACACAAAACCTAGATAGCTGTTTTAGTTAAAATATGTATCACGTTCAAATTTAAAACAAAGTTAAGCCAACATATTAATCTCAAATATTCGACAATAAGAATTTTCCATTAATTGTCGTGTTGTAGAAAGGTTTTAAATATAACAATTATTTTGCCTACGGGTTCACCGCGGAGTGTCGCTTTAGATTTCTCGGCCGCGTGTAATCGACGGATAGATTACGTAATGGTAAACACGCTTAGAATCTGTGTTCCAGGTGAATGTGAGAATCGAGCAGTAAATAATGGTGTATTATTTGACTCTTGAAAAAGTTTCTATGAGATCTGGGTGTATATTGTTTTCATTTAAATTGTTTGTGTTCATTTGATACAAAGAAAAGATACTCGTACTTCTATCACTCTCTCTCTCTCTCTCTTGGAAAGATCTTTATTAATAAAAAGAAAAAGTTGCCATTGAATACTCTGTACGGGAACCAAAAAACACGTTTAAAACCTAATCAAAAAAAAAAATATGATCAGCGTTGTCAAATATTTATTACTTATGGCATGTTTATTTCAATTATACGCATAAAAAGTTCTCCTTCAATAGCAAAATGAGAACGGTGCCATGTTTACGGATCTACATTTCTTTCTTACCATACGTAAGACTCGAACAAAATAATATTTTCATAGGATAGAAATGATATAAAGGAACAATTTAAAATCGACAACCATATCAAAATATTTACCGTTTTTGAGTTATAAAGCAAAAACTTTCAAGGCCCCTAGATCCCTAATTCTAGGGGCCAGCCCCTTTTCAATGATATCAAACGAAAGCTCTTGCAATTATGCACAACTTTTATTCAATATGTCTTAACAAAATATTTTTAGTTTTCAAGATAAAAGGTAAAATATATGTAATTTTTCGCTCTTTTATGCGTTCTTATTTTTGACCCCTATATAGCGCCATTTTGAATAAAGAAATCGAAAAACAAAAACTGGCATGCACAACTTCAATCCTTTTATTATCTAAAATCAGTAGAATTTCTGCTCCAGCTTTTGTGGTCTCTGAGCCTTTATCTGGAAATGAAAGCCTATAAATTTTCATTTAAAGGGAAATAACTCAAAAGCGGAAGTACTTTTTTGAAATATTAGACGGCTTTCTGATAAAGTTTATTGATGTGTATAATGACTGAAAATTTGAGCAAAATCCGTTGAGAAATGAGTGAAATATGAGGCCTCAAAGTTGGCGTCTAGGAAAAGGAAAAAAAAAAGAATAATAAGAATAATCTTAATCATCAGAATCAGTAGAAGGTCTTCCGTTGGAAACGGAAGACCTTAATAAAAAAAAAAAATCTTCCTACTTTTGTTCAATAAAATTTTTTCAGGAGGGGGCATTTCAATGAGGCGGGAGACAATTCCAAACAAACTATAATTTTATTTTGGCCTGATAAAAATATTGATTCAGAATAGCTTACAGTATTATATAATATGAATTCATTGTAACAGTATATGTAGTCAGTAAAATGATAAGAATTTGTAAAAGGATATCGTATAATATTTGAATATACTTACAATATCTGTAGATGACCTCTATATGTGCCTGTCAAACAGACTTTGAAATATGGGAGTAACACTTTTGATGACATAAACAAGATCTGCATTGTAGATAAAATACTATCATGTGTGTCAGTATTAACAAACAAAATATTACATACTGTATACTTAACTTCAGCCTTCATCCTGATAAGCAGTCACTCAGGCCGATACATGACAGATGAATTCAAACAAAATTTAGTACAGAAATAACTGTAAAACTTAATCTAATCGGGATGTTGAGGATTCCAAAATTTTAATTGCTTGATATGATGTTAAATTTGTTAGATTTCGTTTCAGTATATTCAATTGTTTGAAATGTTCTGTAATTCAGAACATTGTCTAATCTGACCAAATTGACAGAAATATTTAACCATGCCTGGTGGTGATTTTACAAATTTTAAAATATTTTTTTTTATATGTGACTCTTGGAACATAGAAAGAACTGCAAACGGTAGTATTGTTCTCCCGCCTACCTCCAAATCAATTTTCAAAAGTTAACATATTCGATGAATTTTATATATTTTTTATAGATAATTATATGGATTTTCATAAACATTACTTATTTGGGAAAAAAAAGAGAGATAACTCTTAAATTTTGGTAAAACTTATGTTTTTCACTATAGAAATCAATGGAAAAAGGAAAATATTTTTAAAACATCTTTCCCCCTGTGTCACAAAAATTCCTTTTTACAGGTAATATGGAATGGTATTTCACAAATTCATACCAAAGCTTTTTGTGTGACACGGGGGGGGGGAACATATGTTTATTGATAAAAAACGATAAAAATGCCTATTTTCCACCAATTTCAAAGCGATATACAACTGAAACATGATATTTTATTGAAATATTTATGTTTTATTTTTATTACATTTTTACCCATGAAATACTGTAATTTATTCATTGAATAAAAATGATATCCTGTCACACTGTGAAAGGATATCAAAATGATATCCTGTCACAGTGTGATGAATATCAGAAGTGCGGGAAAACTCTCGATTTCCCTTCCCATAACAAAGATTGCTGTAAAAAAAACTCCCTTGGCCTAATATAAGATAGATGAAAATAAATAAACCACCCTGACAGCGAATAAAATGGTTAAAATTACCAAAAATATGTTGCTAAATCCATGTTTACAGTGTTTTCACCTCATATAGCTATGACGTCTCAACCGCTCAACTATGACGTCACGTGCCTATGACTGTATAACAAAAAGACAGAGGCAAAGGAAAAATCAAAGAATTTTATTCTAAAAATGTAATAAACAGAAAATTCAATGTTTTGTAGTTGAATATGGAATTTATTTCACTCGTGAGACAGGATTTTTGATATTTTCACTAGTGCTTCGCACTCGTGAAAATATCAAAAATCCTGTCCCACTCGTGAAATAAATTCCATATTCAACTACAAAACATTGAATATCCTCTATATATGCCTTAAACATAAGAAAAGATATAAGGAACATTTAATCATATCCAAGACTATTTCAAAATACGGTGATGCTTGAAACTCCTATTTTAATGGAAAATATTGTCTAACCCCCCCTTTTTTGAAGTGCTGGAATTATGG